ACAGAGACAGAACATTGTATACATAATTAATAAATAAATAAATATTAAAAAAAACAAATTAGACCAAATAAAAGATGCCCACATTTATTGCAGCGCCCCCAGATGACTAGGAAAGAATGGCGAGAAGAGAGATAAGGGGAGACCATGTGAAACCCCAAAACCACGTGTTCATTCTCTGGGGGGCAGCCTAAGTAGCCTGTGGGAGTGGTCCTGACCCTCCCTGGTCACTGCTTGGTGGGCTTTCCTGGAGGTGGAGTAAGGACTAGGCAACTCCCAGGAGAAGGGACTTGAAATGGATGCCGAGGGCTAGGGTGATACTTAGATATAGGGGTGTCAGGGGGCTGGAGTCTCACTTTCAACAAAACAGTGGTGCCCGCTTTTAATCCCAGCACTCAAGAGACAGAGGCAGGTGAATCTCTGTTAGTTCAAGGCTAGCTTGGTCTACAGAGCAAGTTCCAGGACAGGCTCCAAAGCTCTAGAGAAACCCTGACTCCAAAACAAAACAAAAAAGCCACGTTGAAAAGGACAAGAAAACATAGTGGTGGTGTTGGCAGCAGGTCTTTGAACCTTTGGTTCCAGCCCTAGAGAGACAGAGGCAAGTGGATCTCTGAGTTAGAGTCCAACCTGGTAACAGTGAGACCCTGTCTCAAATCAAAACAAAACAAATCAGCTGGGGATGGAGAGATGGTGTTTATTGCTGTGATTTAAAAAAAAAAAAAAACACGACTGTGGCAGGTTGGAGAAGAAAGGTTTTATTTGGCTTACACTTGATTACATATCACTGTTTATCACTGAAGGAAATCAGAACAAGGACTCAAACAAGGGTGAAACCTGGAGGCAGAAGCTGATGTAGAAGCCATAGAGGGTTGCTGCCTGCTGGCTTGCTCAACCCACTTTCTTAGAGACCTTAGGATCACCAGCGCAGATATGACACCACACACGATGGGCTGGGCTCTCCCACACCAGTCACTAATTAAGAAAATGCTCTGTAGACTTGGCTACAGACTGATCTTATGAATGTAATTTCTGAGCTGAGGCTCTATAGCGACATTGACGTTTTAATAAAGCTTGCCTGAAGATCAGAGGGTAAAACAAAGTCACCAGAGACCAGGCAGTGGTGTCACACACCTTCAATCCCAGGATTTGGGAGATGGAAGCAAATGGATCTACATTTGGTGCCCAATGTTTTGGATGCAAATTCACAGAAAAGCCAGTTGCAAAGGCCTGACTGCATGTGGGGCTCCAGCTCCACCCAATGAGGCTTTCTTTTCTCTCCCCGCCCCCCCAGCCCCAGGCAGCCCCCATCACATGTGCTTTTTCCAAACAATCCCATGTCCCATGCAGGTTTTTTTTTTTTCAGACAACCAGCTCTCTCTTTCTCTCCCTCTCTCCACCATGGGTTGTGAGCTCTCCCTGAACCCCTTTCTCAGACTGCTGCCAAACTAGGTAGCTACGTTGAAATCCAGTCAGCCCAGAGGCAGGGGGATCTCTGGGAGTTCGAGACCAGCCTGGTCTACAGAGCTAGTTCCAGGACAGGCTCTAAAGCCACAGCAAAACTCTGTCTCGAAAAACCATAGATAGATAGATAGATAGATAGATAGATAGATAGATAGATAGATAGATAGATAGATAAAAGAAATCCAGTCAGCCTCAGGATAGTGGGTCCTACCCCACCAGTTTACTTTCCTGTGATTCCAAAGAGAGATGCTATGCTTCAATCTTGGTTTTGGTTTTTCCCCTTGGCTACCGAGATGCAATGTGACCCTCTCTAGTGGTGCTGGGCAGTTTCTCGTCAGCCCTGTGGTCACGAGGGGAATCCAGGTGTGGTGAGAGGTTAAGAGTGAAGCTGGGGGAAGGCTACGAATTTGAGGCCAGGCTGGTCTCTATAGGAAGTCCCAGGTTAGGAAGGGCTACATAGTGAGATATTATGTCTCAGAAAACCAAAAATAAGATAAAATAAAAAACAAATGGAAGATGGAGGGAAAAAAAAAAAAAGGAAATCCAGTCAGGCTTTTACTGTTCTATCCAGCAGCAGTAAGCCTCACATTGTGGTACAATTGTCCCCTGGCCTGGCACCAGACGATAACAAGCAACCTCCACTAGCCACGAAACTGCAAAGCCATGAAAGCTGTCTTATAACTGGCCTGGCTCCGGAGTTTTCACGCAGCCCCTAGGCCTTCCTTTGTGTTACAGATACCTTTTGTTGCCCTTTGTGAATCTCAACTGAGAGTTTCCCATGGATACAAAGCCTATGCAAAACTTGGTTTAGAGGAAACCCAGAAAACCACGGTACCTCATAAACCAGGTATTTGCACCTGACATTGTCTTTTTGGAAGCTTCTAACAGTCTGTTTTGATGTATGGAAATCTATTAAGTAAAGTGTAAACATAAGGAAAAATAAAGATGCCAAGAGGCAAAGACAAGGCACCCCTGCCTCCGTTTACAAAGACTGAGCGCCCTGCAGCTGCGGAGGCGAAGTTCATTCTCATTTTGTCTCTGAGTCTTCATTTCATGGACCCATGTGAGCCCACATCACCATCGACAGTTACAAGTGACAGCATATCTTCATCAGCATCATCGTAGATTTGGAAAGACATTTGGGAATACTTAAAGGGAAGAATTAGTTAAAAGGGAGCATTACTTCCCCCACATTAAAAATGGGAAAAGCCATTATAATGGAAGGATTAAGGTCTCCATATGATAATATGCTAGACAGTTTGAAAATGGACCGATTATGCCTGGTGGTGGTGGCGCACGCCTTTAATCCCAGCACTCCAGAGGCAGAGGCAGGTGGATCTCTGTGAGTTTGAGGCCAGCCTGGTCCACATGGCTATTGCCAGGACAGGCTCCAAAGCTACATAGAGAAATCCTGTCTCAAACAAAACAAAACAGAACAAACAAGCAAACAAAAAAAGCTAATCACAGAAATATTCAATTTCAGACAGAGGAATTTAATGGAAAACCAATTAAAGCATTGCATTATAAGATTAGAGAGGAACATCCTAAGGTTTTCAAGCAAACAACCTTAATATATCCAGTAATCTTACAGGAACTGTCAAATTGCAGAGGCTCTCTTACAGCTAACTGGACTCCTGTGCCAATGTTAGATTTAAGGAGATTCAAGGAAGCAATAATCTCATATAGCATGCATTCATTTTTGTGAAGCAGGTCTTAAACTCGTGGTCAGTTTGTAATAGAATTATTCCAACGACTGGATAGATTTAATTAAAGGTGTTTTAGAGCCCGGGCCACAATTACAATGTAGTACCTGGTTCAGAGAAGAAGCTAAGGTTATTTACAACGGAGTAAAAAAAAAAAAAATTTTTTTTTTTCGAGACAGGGTTTCTCTGTGGCTTTGGAGCCTGTCCTGGAACTAGCTCTTGTAGACCAGGCTGGTTTCGAACTCACAGAGATCCGCCTGCCTCTGTCTCTAGTGCTGGGATTAAAGGCGTGCTCCACCACCGCCCGGCTTACAACTGAGTAAAATTAGAGGTAGGAAAATCTCTCAAGATCAAATTCTTGGAGAAGGGGAACATGCTTCTATAGAAAGTCAGTCTATAGATGATGATCACACCCTAGATTTATGCCATGCAGCAGCTTTGAATGCTTGGAACAGAATTGGAGAAATAGAAAAGAAAATTCAGTCATTTACTAAAGTTATATAGAGCCCAAAGGAAGCCTTTAGGGATTTCATACAAAGATTGACTTCAGACAGTAAATAAAATGATACCAAATTCAGAAGCTTGAAGTCTCCACAGTGAGGATGGGGCCTCACAGTCACAATTCCTCCAAGAGTATGGTAACACCACTAAGCTGTAAAACACCTAAAGATCAACTTTGAACTACAAACTGCTCAGAACAATTTTGAGGTGGCTAGCTGAGATGAACCAGCTAACAGACTACTCTAGCCAGGACTTGAGACAAGCCTGCACTTTCCCATTATGCAGAGACTGGACAACAGATGATACAGCCACCTCTCCCAGGACTTGATGGTTAACACAAATTTTTCTTTTAAGGATCCCCTAAAGATACTATTGCTCCCAGACAGCAAGAAGATAATTTAAGAATACAATGCCAGGGACTAGAGAGATGGCTCAGTGGTTAAGAGCACTGGCTGCTCTTCCAGAGGTCCTGAGTTCAATTTCCAGCAATCACATGGTGGCTCACAACCATCTGTAATGAGATCTGGTGCCCTCTTCTGGCGTGCGGACATACATGGAGGCAGAATGTTGTATACATAATAAATAAGTAAATAAACCTTTAAAGTAAAATAAAAAGCAATGAAATAAAAAAAGAGTACCACACACTCTTATTTTTAAAAAAAGAATACAATGTCCACATTTCCAAGAGGTGGGGTGGGTGGGTTTGGGTCATCCAATGGGTTATGGATATTTGTCATTGTTTAGGGGTTTTGGTTACAAGTTGTTATTGATAATGGTCAGGAAAAAAACAAAGGACATTAGATTCAAGGTTCTTGTTTTGAAAAGAGAAAAGGGATGTAGGTATAATAAGATAGAAAAGTACATTATTGAATCTATTTTCAAAAAAGCAACTACTAGTTTTAAATGTCTTACATCGGATTGCACTTTTGTATATTGTATACAAATTTTATTCTGTACATATGTTTCTAATCTTGTTCAAGGTATTGAACCTATTTAGCTCATTTAACAATATAATGCAAATTTCTAGTCCTTGACAGTTATTATTACCAACTGTTTAGAATAATAAGGAAATATAGGAAAGTAGTTAATCACCTAGTATAATCAAACTTGTAAGTCAAACTTGTATGTTTGTTTTCAAGGTCAAACAAAGATATATTATAAATAGGTCATCTTCAAACACTTCAGAGACCTACAGAATATGGTATTTAATGATTTAATAACATAGGCTCTTTTTTTAATGATTATTAGACATGTCTACTCCTGGCAGCACCAGTCTACTTCAGAGAAGATGATGGGCATAAAAGAAGCTCCACATGGAGTTCTTACTTTGTGGCAAAAGTAAGCCACTGGGCAAGAAAGTGTTCTTGCCTTGACTGCTGACAGTATGTCCTAATGGACAAGCAAGACACAAAAGAGTGACTGCCAAACCTTGCTCAGACAAGGCATGACAGTCCTTCAAAACCCTTGCTTCATAGAAAAGTCTGCCAGATATTCTAGGCATTGTAAACTGAAGATGGATGCCTCAACATTGCAGAGGAAATTTGGGTGACTGTCCAGGCAGCCAGCTGTTGTTTCTCACAATTTTTAGAAGTCGCTTGCTCACACTTCCTGCTTACTCAGCTAATTTTATTTCCTTCGTGGGTCTCTGAGGGAGTTCAAGACTAGAGAGTTATAGTTTTCCTTGTTTACCAGACACAGAAAGCAAGTTATGATAGAAAGTAAATTAGGTGCAAGACTTTGGACTCACAAGATAGGATAGATATGGAGTATTTTCTCTGAATTTGTCAAATGCAAATAAACTAGACATTGTTGAAATATTTATTGCCTGCACATATTGTTTGTAGTTATTTTACTTATTGTATATAGTTTTTTATATTAGTTATGCTTTTATCTATTTTAGATAAAAGGTGGAAATATGGTGATATTTTATTTATGTTTTATAAATAAAGCTTGCCTGAAGACCAGAAGGTAAAACTAAGCCACTGGAGGCCAGGCAGTGGTGTCACACACTTTTAGTCCCAGGATTTGGAAGATAGAGGCAGATGGATCTCTGTGAGTTCAGGAGCCAGCCTGGGCTACACAAGATCAATGCAGAAACAGAACCAGGTGGTGGTGGTTCATACTTTTAATCCCAGTACTAGGGAGTCACATGTCTTTAATCCCAGCACTAGAGGGGAATATAAAACAGGAGGAGACAGAGGCTCAGAGCTCAGTCTGGAGTCGCCCAATCCTGGTAGGGGTAAGACTTCTCTAGTGGCTTGACTGTTTGGCTTTTATGATCTTCAGTATTAACCCCAATATCTGTATCTGAGTTTTTATTATTCATGTGGCTCTCTTGTTTAAGATAACTTTCAGCTTGTGTAAAATTGATATCAAACTAGCCAGGAAAGACAGAAAGATGTCTCAGTGGTTAAAAGCACTGACTGCTTTTCCAGATGACCCTAGTTCAATTCCCAGGACCCACATTGCAGCTAATAACTAACTGTCCTAACTCCAAAGTCTGACACCCTCACAGACTACCTGCAGGTAAAACACCAATGCATAGAAAACACAAATAAATAAATTAGTGAAAATAAAAATAATGAATTAAAAGGATGGCAGAAGAGAAGAAATTGGCTTCTTTTCTAGAGGATCCGGGTTCAGTTCCCAGCACTCACTTGGAAGCTCACAACTATCTGTAACTCCAGTTCCAGGGGAATCCGACACTCTTCTGGCCTCTGTGAATACTAAGCATGTAAGTCGTGTACAGATAGACAAGTAGAAACAAAACCCACACCCAGTAGGACTGGGGATGTAGCTCAGTTGGAATGCATGTCTAGCCTTGGTTTTGATCCAAAGCACAGCATACACCCAGTGTAGTGGTATATTCCTATAATCCCAGCAACAGAGGTGGAGACAGGAGGATCAGAAATTCAAGACTCTCCAGGTCCAGTCGAAGCTGCTTCTTTTGTTGTTATTGTTTTTTGTTGTTGTTGTTGTTGTTGTTACCAAGTTACCCTGAAACTCAGAGATCCACTTGCCTTTGCCTCCCCACTCGGTGTGCTGAGCTTCTTTGCAGAGATGAAGTCAGAGAATCCTTCCAGTCCAGCAGCTTTGGTGGGGCCTGATGGCATAAAGTTGTATGGCGGTTCAGGCAGTCAAATGGTTTCATCGATAGTCTGGGCTACGTCGTGAGATCATCCCTCAAATACCCCTAACCGAAGAACGTGTAGAAATTTAATTTGCCTTATAATCAAGGAAGCACCAAAAGAAGGGCTGAGGACACAGGTTAGTGGCGACCCCTGCCTAGCATTAACAAGAGCTGCAGTCAGGCTCCACTCCCCACTTGCCACTTCTTGGGTCAGGGAAAGGCAAATACAAATACTGGGGGAGGGGGGCTGGAGAAATGGCTCAGTGGTTAAGAGCATTACCTGCTCTTCCAAAGGTCCTGAGTTCAATTCCCGGCAACCACATGGTGGCTCACAACCATCTGTAAAAAGGTCTGGCGCCCTCTTCTGGCCTTCAGGCATACACACAGACAGAATATTGTATATATAACAAATAAATAAATATTAAAAAAAATACTAGGAGGGGTTTGGGGAAAATTAAAAAAAAAAACAAGCTACGTAATTGTGATTGAATGGATGACTGAGGGATTGAGATTAGTCCAGAGAAGTAGATGTGGCTAGACCATCTAGGTTCTTAAAGAACTGTGGTGGAGTTTTAGCTCAAATACATTTTTCCTTTTTATCTTGTGTATGTGTGTGTGTGCCAATACCACCGAGCTTGTGTGGAGGTCACAGGTCAACTTGCAGACATATGTTCTCTTCTTTCTTCATGTGGATTCGAAGGATCGAACTCTGGTCATAGGTTTTCAGCAAACACTTGTACCCTCTGCATTACCATGCAAACCCCTCAAGTCCACATTTCAGCTCTGTCACACCAGATAGGTCCTGTCATGATTCCTTGTTACTATGCACTGTGTTCTGTCATTAGGGGGAACATGGGCAAGCTGTTCAGCAGCTGGAGAAGGACCTCTGTCAAACCTGCCTTTTCCTTTCAGGCCTGGCCTCCTCCAGTGGTGATTCTACTCTGTGAGTGGTAGTCACTCTCTTCAGGTGCTTTCTTTACTCCCAGGGAGCGCTTCTGTGCCAACACCTGGAGTGCTAAAGTGAGGCGAGAAAGTTTAGACAAATTGCAGGGACCTCTGAAGGAAAGGAGGTCCTCACCATAGAGCTGATTGGACCCTCTCACAAGTTGAGAATTCCAGCACAGTACCCAGGCGGTGGTGGCGCATGCCTTTAATCCCAGCACTCGGGAGGGAGAGGCAGGCGGATCTCTGTGAGTTTGAAGGTAGCCTGGTCTACAGAGCTATTTTCAGGACAGGCTCCAAAGCTACAGAGAAACCCTGTCACAAAAATAAATAAATAAGTAAATAAATAGATAGATAAATAAATAAATAAATCCAACCCCCCCCCAAAGAAAACAAAAACAAAAACCAGAATTCCAGCACAAGACTGTGCAGTGGTGGCGGCACAAACCTTTACTCCCAGTATTTCAGCATTTGAGAGGCAGAGGCAGGCGAATCTCTGTGTTCAGGGCTAGCCTGGTCTACAGAATGGATTCTGAGACATTCAGAAAAATAGAATTCTAGCACACAGGTTGGGTGTAACGACATACACTTTACTTTAGCACTCGTGGTGGAAAGCAAATTTTTATGAATTCAAGGCCAGTCTAGTCTACAGAGTAAATTCCAGGCCAGCTAGGGCTACACAGTCAGATCTTGTCTCAAAACACACACACACACACACACACACACACACACACACACACACACGCACACACACACACACACACACTAAAACTGTGGGAACCCACCGTTACTTTATTTCCATCTTGACTTAAGGTTCAAACTTGTCAAGATCAAATAACAGGGTGTTTGACTAAGGGCGTCCATGGTTACTAGATGTTTTGAGCATTAAGAGGTAATTACACTTGTTTGCTCCCTGTATCATTGGTAAGGAAGTCTTTTGCCCCTCCCCCCCACTTTTGCTTTGGGTATAAAAGCATGAGGAGAAATCAATTCAAGGCTGCTGCAGTATTCACAGATCCCTCCCAACTCTTATCTTCTGTTTCTTGTTTCTCTTCTCTAAATCCTCACTCCCCTTTTCAGGCACGTTTCACAGGTTGGCTGGTCCCCACACGTGGGAGCCTGATCTCAAAACGGGACTACGTGTGGAAGCGCAAGCGTGGGGAGTACTCAGGAAGAAAACTGTAAATATGGGGCCGGGTAATAGTAGTCAGATGTTTGTTCATTTGCTTAAAGATATTTACAAGTCAGAGGAGCTGAAGTAGAGCAGCAGCAAGTACAGAAACTTTTAGAGTTTGTAGAGCAGGTGCCCCCCGTGGTGTCCTGAGCACAGGGCCTTGGATGTGAACACATGGCAGAGAATTGGAGTGAAAATCCAACTGCATTATGAGAGTGTGGGCCTGGAGGGATCCCAGTGGGTGCTCTTAGTCTGTGGATCCCGGACAGTTTGAATTTTCATCCTGAATGGCAGAAGGTAATTCCCCCTAAAATGATTAAAAGTGAAACTCACCCTCCACATCCCCGGGGGAGCCTCTAGATGCAGACACCTTTACAAAATTGTTTGGTGATGATCAGTTCAATCCTGGTAAGCTTGAGGAAGAAGCCGCTGAGTACCATAATAAGGAATCTTCACCTCCCTTGCTGCTGACCATGAATGTTGAGAGGCATAAACCTGCTGGCGAGATAGGTAGAGCAGGAGCTAAAGGGCTTGGGAAATTTAGTACTATCCCTTTCAGTGTCGTCTTTTCAGAAGGCCACTCCTCTTCCTACTGTAGTGACTGGTTTAGATCTGCCTAGGGAGTTGTCTGTGGTGCAGAGACCTGCCAGGGCATGGCAACACTCCCCTTTAGTCATGGGCCCCCTGCAGGCTAGTCTTAGAGAGGCAGCTAACAGAGGGGAGGGTGTGCAAGTGTGTCAGATGAGTCCATTGATGGAGCAAAGAGACGCTCAGGGAAATTTAGTCAGGGTACATCCTCCAATTCCATTTAAACAACTCAAGGAATTAAAAATGGCAGGTTCTCATATGAGCCCATGATCCTTTTACACAAACTCTGTTAGAAAACATGGCTGTAAAGCCGGGCGATGGTGGCGCACGCCTTTAATCCCAGCACTCGGGAGGCAGAGGCGGGCGGATCTCTGTGAGTTCGAGACCAGCCTGGTCTACAGAGCTAGTTCCAGGACAGGCTCCAAAGCCACAGAGAAACCCTGTCTCGAAAAACCAAAAAAAAAAAAAAAAAAAACATGGCTGTAGAGGCTTTGCCTCCTCGACACTGGAAACAGATGGCCAAGGCTTGCCTGTCAGGATGGGACTACCTGTTGTAGAAAACTGAATTTGTGGGAAATGTCAAGCCACAACTGAAATAAATTGGGTCCAACAAATCTCCATTAATATCGATATGCTTGCCAGAGACAGCATTCACTGGGAGAGAGAGAGCAGCAGTTTAGTTGTGAGGTGGCAGTGTAAGCCCAGGTTAACACAGCTGCCAAGAAGGACTGGAATAAGCTTCCATCTTCTAGAAGGCAGACCAAGCACTTGTCTAAGATAAGCCAGGGACCTGAGGAATTATTTCAGGTCTTTGTCTTTAGGCTAGTGCAGACCAGACAGCAGATAGGTTAATTGAGGGATAGGGAATCTGGGCTTTTCATTGTTAAACAGCTAGCCTATGAGAGTGTTACTGCTGTCTGTCAGGCTGCTTTGAGATCTTTTAGAAAGAAAGGCAACATTTCTGATTACTTTCGACTTTGTTTGAATATTGGTCCCTCATACTCAGGGCTTAGCTATGGCTGCTGCATTACAGGGAAGAAGAGTTAAGGATGTTCTTGTCCATAAAAGAAATCAAGGGGCTGGAGAGATGGCTCTTAACCTTCCAGAGGTCCTGAGTTCAATTCCCAGCACCCATATGGTGGCTCACAGCCATCTGTAATGAGATCTGGTGCCCTCTTCTGACCAGCAAGCATACAGACAGACAGAACACTATATATATAACAAATAAATAAATAAATCTTAAAAAAAAAAAAAAGAAATCAAGGCCTGAAAAGAGGGAGTAGTGGACTACTGAGACCTCAAGAACAATGGCAATGGGTTTTTGATCCTACTGCACCTACTGGTTTTGTGGGAGCCTAGGCAGTTTGGATGCTCACCTTACTAGACCTGGATGGAGGTGGGTGGTCCTTAGACTTCCCACGGGCAGGGAACCCTGATGGCTCTTTGGGCTGACAAGGGAGGGGGACTTGACTGGGGGAGGGGGAGGGAAAGGGGAGGCGGCGGTGGGGAAGAGACAGAAATCTTTAATAAATTAAAAAAAAAAAGAGGGAGTAGTGCTAGACCTCCTGGAAGTTGCTTTGGATTTGGTCAGATGGGGCATTGGGTCAAGCAGCCCTTATAAGGGAATAAACCTAGGGGCAAGAAAGGAACCTGGATAGTGCGGAGATGTAAGAGAGGGAAGCATTGGGCTAATGAATATAAGTCAAATATGGATGCCCAAGGGAATCCCCTGCAGGGCCAGGACAAAGGGGCCTTGTTTAGTACAGAAAAGCTGGATAGAATGTAGGTGATATTTTGGTAGAGAACCAAATGTGATCAATGATCCTTATACTAAACAATTGATTGGTTATTTTATTTTATTTTTTTGTTTTTTTTCGAGACAGGGTTTCTCTGTGGTTTTGGAGCCTGTCCTGGAATTAGCTCTTGTAGACCAGGTTGGTCTCGAGCTCACAGAGACCTGCCTGCCTCTGCCTTCCAAGTGCTGGGATTAAAGGCGTGCGCCACCACCGCCCGGCTGATTGGTTATTTTAAAATCATGACTCTTGGGCACATGATTTTGCTCAGTTTTTTTTGTTTGTTTTTGCCAAATTGATAATCTTTTTCCAGCTGATTGATTGTTGCAATTTGCCCAAATGCATTCCTTTATATTTTCTAAAGTTGTGATCAAAGATCCCATAAAAGGTGCTATCCTAGGGGGCTGGAGAGGTGGCTCAGACAGAGGTTAAGAGCACTGACTGGTCTTCCAGAGTTCAATTCCCAGGAACCACAAGGTGGCTCATAACCATCTGTAATGAGATCTGGTGCCCTCTACTGGCCTATAGGATATACGATATATACTATATAGAGTATTATATAGAGAGTAATAAATAAATCTTTTTTTTTTAAGGTGCTATGCTGGTTTTTACTGACAGTTCCGCCAATGGAAGAGCTGCTTATGTTGTTAATGGTGATGGTTACATAGTACAGCTCCAGCTTCAGTTCAGATAGTAGTTGTAGCTATGGTTATCCAACTTATTGTAAGCAGTTTGTTTAATTTGTATACTGATAGCCATTATGTTTTTTTAAAGATTTATTTATTGCTGGGCAGTGGTGGCACACACTTTTAATCCCAGCACTCAGGAGGCAGAGGCAGGTGGGTCTCTGTGAGTTCAAGACCAGCCTGGTCTACAGAGCTAGTTCCAGGACAGGCTCCAAAGCCACAGAGAAACCCTGTCTCGAAAAAAAAAAAAAGATTTATTTATTTATTATGTATACAACATTCTTCCTCCATGAATGCCCATATGACAAAAGAGGGCGCTAGATGCTAAATCTCATTACAGAGAGTAGTGAGCCAACATGTGGGTGCTGGGAATTGAACTCAGGACCTCTGGAAGGGCAGTCAGTGCTCTTAACTAACCATTGAGCCATCTCCCCAGCCCTGATAGCCATTATGTTTTTAGAGCCCTTCAGGTTCCCTGTATTGGAACTAGTAATGGTCAGGTTAGGATGTTGTTTCAGCAAATTCAGGATACCATTCATTACAGAAACTTGCCATGCTTTGTAAGTCATCTTTTCAGTTTTCCTGGCCCTCCAGCTGACAGTAATGTGTCAGCTGGTAAATTAACAGATAGTCACCTTATCCCAGGTAGAACTGGCTCAACAGTCACATGCCCTTCATCATCAGACCAGCAGAAGTTTTAGAAAACAGGGAAGTTGTTAAGGAATGTGATGTATGCCTGCAGTATTTGCTTGTACCTCCCTGAGGGGTAAATCTTTGAGGCTTTCTTTCTTTTCATTTATGGCAAATGGATGTTACTCATGTTGTGGAATTTGGCAAATTCAAATATGTACACGTGACAGTCGATACCTAGTCAAGGTTTTTGATGACCACTGCGCAAACTTGGGAAGCCACCAAGCATCTGAAAGCTCATTGCTTAAAATGTCTTTTCAGGGTTAGAGATGGCTCAGGGGTTAAGAGCATTGCCTACTCTTCCAAAGGTCCTGAGTTCAATTCTCAGCAACCATCTGGAGGCTCACAACCATCTGTAATGAAGTCTGGTGCCCTCTTCTGGTCTGCAGGCATACACGCAGACAAAATAAATTTAAAAAAAAAGAAATGTTTTTTCATATTTGGGGATTCCTAAAATTATGAAACAGATAATGGATCAGGCTATATAATTTTGTTCCCAATGGAAAATTGAGCATCAAAAAGGCATTCCCGCCAGGCAGTGGTGGCGCAAGCCTTTAATTCCAGCACTCGGGAGGCAGAGGCAGGCGGATCTCTGTGAGTTCGAGACCAGCCTGGTCTACAAGAGCTAGTTCCAGGACAGGCTCCAAAACCACAGAGAAACCCTGTCTCGAAAAACCAAAAATAAATAAATAAATAAATAAATAAATAAATAAATAAACAAACAAACAAGGGGAGTTATATCCTCAGTCCCCACATAATGCATTGAATCATGCCCTCTTTATTTTAAATTTTTTAAATGTGGATGCCCACAATCTGCTGTGGATAGATTTTAGCATGATGGCACTTGAACAACTTTTGCCAAGTAAAATGGGAGGATCCTTGTCCTGGATCAAGGAAGGGCCCCAACCCTGTTTTATCTTTTGGTTTTTCAAGACAGGGTTTTTCTGTAGCTTTGGAGCCTGTCCTGGGAACCAGCTCTTGTAAACCAGGCTGACCTTGAACTCACAGAGATTCGCCTCGCTCTGCCTCCAGAGTGCTGGGATTAAAGGCGCGTGCCACCACTGCCCTGCAAACCCTGTTTTGATATGGGGTCGAGGGCATGTTTGTGTTTTTTCACAGGAACAAAAAAGTTCGATGACTACCTGAGATCTTGGTGCAGTGTGTGGAAAAGAGGAATGCCGGCCCTGATGATATTGTGCCTACTGGTGCTCGCCCAGAAGAGATGGAGTGAGATTTATTGAACCTATGTTTCTTGTTGGACTCTAGTGTCCAAACACCGAGGAGGAGTCGCCCCCAGAGACCACCTCACACACCACAGCCAATGCAAAAGCATGAGGATTTTATTAATTCTGTCATGACAGGGTCTCCCAGCATTCGGGAAGCCGAGAGACCTCGAATAGCTGGCACAGGCTACTTTTAAAGGAGAAGGCCACAGAAGCAAGGGGGGTTGTGATTGGCTTATTCAAAAGGGCTATTACCAATAATTGGCTGGAGAGCTGTTGCCAGATCAGATGAGGTCATTTTGACCCTGTTTCCCAGGGGACTGAATCAAAACATATGAATTGTTCAGGAACTGAGTACGTGCATGTGTAGCTGTTAGGTCCTTGGTTCCCAGGGGAGGAGGGGAAGCACTATGGCACGGAGGCTGAGAGGATTCAGATATGTCAGAAATGGCTTCAGGATTGTCTTAAAGTCTTACCTTTCTGATCCTCTGATATTACATCCTGCAGTCTAGGAAGGG